CAGATTTGCAATTTTGACATTAGAAGTTAGAAGTCCCTCTGCGTGATTACATGGAGCAGAGCAGGTGCCCAGGATCATCTTACTGGCCTTTACAGCAACACACACACACACACACACACACACACACTCTTGTTTTGATATCTTAGTGAGGACATCTCATTGATGCTTTCCTTAGTCGCTTACCCTAACCACCAACCTAAACCTAACCCTTAGCCTGACCTACCTAACCATAACCTAACTGTAACCCTGTCACTAAAACCACATTGAGTTTCAAAAATGCCAGACACTTTTGTCCTCATAAGTGAACGTTGGTCCCCACAAGTAACGCAACATTACAGTTTTCAGTCCTCACAAAGACATCTAAACAGGCACACACACACACACACACACACACACACCCTCAGTGTAACCTGTGACCTGTATAACTGTGTTTGCAGTAAAGTGACTCCATCCTGACAAATCAGTGAGTGCTGCACGACTTCCTGTAACTCCTCGTGTACGTTTGACCTTTGGGGCTGCACACACACGTTTCATACATAAAGTTACACAAACGCTCGGTCTTAAGAGAAGACTCCTCGGAGCAAAACATCCTAACCAAAAAAAAAAAAAAGACGGCCACAGCTCGTTATGAAATCTGAGAATCTCCTGCGGCCTCAAACTCAAACCTGTGAGCACATCAGCATAACATCAAGTTTTTACTTATTAGTGTTGTCACCGATTCATTTAAACTTTTTTTGTATTACTGACTCTTAGATGAGTTGAAGATTAAAAAAAGAAAAGGCCAGAATCAAAGTATAACATATCATTTTTAAATATCATGGCTGTTTTATTGTTTTTAACATTATAAATGACTTCCCTAAGCCCATTACAACAGTACACTTTGGAAATGAAAATGAGATGAATTCGTTTTCACTCCGACGAGCATCTGACACTTTCTGATCACAGTCACTGAGAAAGAAGGCATAAAAGACAAAAGGTGGGACCACTTCAACATCAACACTCCGACTGCAATTAGCAGAAGTGAGGCTTCACAGCAGTTTCACCACTTCCAACATGACGGTTTATTTAAAACAAACAGAGTTATGAAGGAAGAAACCTGTCCCCTTTGGCCAAAACTGCGTCTGTAGCCGACTGTAGCACATCTCTAATATAGGGCTGTATGGGGAGGACTGACTTACTTCTACAGCCTGCCTCCAGTGGTCATTTACGGAACTGCAGTCTTTGCCACTTGTAAAGAACATTTATGCTCAATGAGGGCAATTCTCAGCCCACGTCATACATTTAAAAACTCAATAATTTACATTGGAATACTTTTTAAAAAAAAAAAATCTTAAAATATGTATTTTCTCTTATTTTACTATTACCTATTGCACAGCTGCCAGAAAGCTGAACTTTGCCTCTCTGGTTGATGAGATCAATCAGCGTGTTGTTGGGAAACATTCAAGGCAGTTTATAAAATCCTTGTTGAGTCACTGAGAAAAATTCCCGCTGCCGCCAAATATTCCTGAAATGTCGAACGTGTAAACACATTCGTGGAACAGAGCTGAAGTGGGGTTCAATGTCAAACATGGATCCTGTGTGTGTGTGTGCGTGGGAGGGGGGGGATACGAAGCACAACACAGTATGAGCACGAACAGCCACCTGATAAACTCTTATTATCAATCATCGAGGTTTCTGGCAGAAAACTATTAGAACCGGCTGCTGTGATAGCGAACCAGGATGGGATTCAATTTAATAATGCACAAAGTGAGGTAGCACCACTATCTGTCCAGAACTAACAAACTCCTGTCTAAACCTAACCCTGCACCACTGCACTATTTCAAAACTCAGATTTAGTCTTTCAAAGACTTTTCAAGAATTAAAACAATATTAAAACGATGTGAATATACTACTTTAACCAGACAGCTGGTTTACCCTTTGCTTTAAATGCTTAACAGCTACAACTTTAACTTGGTTACATCTTATTAAACTAACACAAGAGTCAAATTCAATGTTAGCGATTAACATTTTTTGTTATTA